CTAGAAAAATCAACCCAATCATGATGGTATACGGGAGTCACAACCGACAAACAGAGGGCTACCAAGTGTTGGGGTTAGAGGGGTTTTGTAGAGTGGAGGCCAATGGTTCAGGTGGTGATGTCGGATTGAATTTTGACCACTAGAATCACTCGAAATTTGGCCCAGAAAAGTGAAACCCTAACTGTGCGGTCAGATCACAGGGTGTGTTTGCTAGACTTCAAACCTACAAGGACTGGTGCATTTTCTTCAAGGGTATGTTTGTTAGATTTCAAACTTGCTGGATCACCGGTCAGGCCACTAGTTTAACTGGTCGGACCGAGCAACCTAAGACTCGGCCCCTTGGTCGGGTGACACCCCGAGTCAGGTTTCAAAACACTGATATAAACTTGACAAAGAAAAAAAAAATTTATATAAATTAAAACCAATTAACCAAAACCGAACAAACTCGATTTAAAATTGGTTTGGTTTGGGTTTCTTATAAAAACGAATAGGTTTAGAGTTTTCTTTTCTACTTGCATTTATTTTGGTTCGAATCGAGTTTAGCAAAACTCGACCCATACACACCCCTACGACAACCAATTTGAACCAATGTTTTTTACTAGGGGTGAGCATGGGTAAAAGGTAGAACCGAAACCGATGGGTGGGAACCCAAAACTTGCCTCATCAGGGTCTGGTTCCGGATCTAGAAAATTGAAACCGAGAATTCCCAGATCTAGTTTCGATTCCTATAGGACTGGAATCGGGAATCGAAATCAAAACCAAAACTGCAACCGGAATCGAAACTGGAACCGAGGTTCGGGTACCCATGTAGGAATGAGACTAAATTATAATTTTTATAAACTATTAGGGGTACAATTGTAATTTTTGTGGGTGTATTTATCATTTTTAAAAAAATTGGGGGGGTAATAAATTAACCTAGGTACCCAGAACTGGAACCTATGTTTTAGGTTTATGTTCTAGGTTTCTAGGAACCAAAATCGGCTGGTTCTGGTTCCAGTTTCAAATCGTAGGAACTGGCCAGTTTCAATTTTGGTTTCTTCAAAAAATGCAGGGTACCCGAAACCGCTCATCCCTTTTTTTTACAACGAACTGCAACATTCCAATTCTCCTCAATGAAAAAGGCGTTTTGTCAATAGCCTATTTATATAATTTTTATCTTTGTCAATAACCTTCATTCAAAATCATCAAACTCTATCCAAAATACCCACCCAACTACTTTAATGATATCCATGCTCTCCGCATATAACCCTATAAATCTTATTATCACTTCTTTCCCAAATTATCTTGCAACACAAACCTCTTACTGTCACCGTCACCATCATTTCTCAATCACAAAATTATCAACCAAAATCCAACCTTGTGCAAACTAAATCAATAAATCATCCAAAGACTTGGACGTCAAAACCTTATTTAACTTTATTTAACTAGGATAAATCAATCTAATTTCACGTAAATTGCTAATTTTATGAGGGAAATTAGAGAGACAAGCCAATTTGCAGATGATGCATGGCTTCGTCTCTTCATTTTCCAGAACCACCACGAATATTTTATTTCAAATTTATGAGGAAATTGCAAGGGGCAACGTGCTCTTTGCTCACAATTTTTTTTTTTTTAACCGTACTATAATTAACAAATAAGGGGAAATTGCCCATTATTATTTAATTTCTTTTTACAAGGGTAGGGGTCAATTTTTGCCTTCACTCACAAATTTGTAAAACAATTTTAAAATCTTACGAGTATTAGGATAATATTAAGTAACCCTTTAGTTTTAAAATCAATAATGCTACACTTACATAGTCTTCATACAAAGACCTATATATAAAATAACGTAATTAAATATAAATAATAAAAGTGAATATACAAAGTCATCCCATAAATTAATATGTCCTGGTAAAGCAAAGAGAGTTCAGTCAAGTTAATTAATATACATTTAAGGGTGTGTTTGGTTCATGAACGTTATATTAGTGGGAATATTATATTAAGGAAAAGACAAATTACCTTAAAGATTATTAGGAATGTTTTATTAAATGTGTTTGGTTAGATTTGAATAAATTAATAGGTATGTTATATTGATATGTTTGGTTTGAAGGAATAAATTTGTGGGTATGTTATATAAATTACTGAATTATTTTAATATTATTATTATTTAGATTATTTTAACCCCCTAAATTTGAGAATTTAGCTAGAATACCCTCATAATAAAAGTTTAAAAATTAACAAAAATGTCTTACCCACCCAAGCCACTGTCGACCACCACCATTTGCCGGAATGGCACATAACCGACCAAATCGGTGCACGGTCGACTAGATTTGACCGGTAGTGCAACATTCCAACCATAGTCGGTGGTGGTGGTCGGTTGCCGCCGATGGTGGCCAGATCCGGCCACCAGTCCTGGGTAATTGTTTTTAAGTTCAAAGGTATTCATGTCCTAAAAATTTTGTATATAAGGATAAAATAATCCATAAATATTTTTATAAATTGTTTTTAAAACAAGGGCATTATTGTTCAAAAGTTTTAATAGTTAGGGATAAAATTGTAACAAAATTAAGATTATCAAGTAATCTTAAAATACCTAAGAAAATTATGGTATTCAGATTACCACCTATATAACCAATAGTAATTATTATTGGTTTTGAAATATTACCAAAATCTTATATTACTTGACAACCGAATATAACAATATAAATAGTATAAGATGACATTACCTTAATAATGGGGGATAACCACCAACAAAACAACGCCTAAGAGTGTGAATGTTGGTTATATTTTACTTCTATATGCATTTACGAGTGTGATTTCTCATTTCTCTTAATATTTTACTTTTATATTTTAAATATTCTAATATTAATTACGAGTCCCCCTTCTATTTTTTATTAGCTGCTCCATCTCAAGGACAAATCTATAATAAAAATTAATCCCCCTATTTTTTTTACCTTTTCAAACTCTATTCTATTTTAATATTTTATCCTAAAAAGTTAAAAACATGTTTGTTTTAATATTTCACTATTCAATTCAAAATCCAATTTTATTCTATTCAACTCAAAACATTTAACAATTACTTTTCTCAATAAAAGTTTATAAATTAACAAAAACACATCCACCCACCCAAGCAACAGTCGCCTGCCAGCAACCATCACCAGTTGCCGTCACTACCACTATCGGTGCTGGAACGACGCACGATCGACCAAATCTGGCCAATTGTGAGTCGATCTAGACGTTTTCGGCCAAATCCACTATAGATCTAGCCGGAAACGGCCAGATCTACAACTAGAACGACAGCCAAATTATAGCCGTAAAGATCTAGCTGTCAACAATGACTAGATTTTGGCCATTGACAATAGCCAGAAATTTGTTGACGACTAGATACACAGTAGATCTGGCCAGAAAAGACTAGATTGGCGCACGACCAACCAGATCTAGCCGATCATGCACCATTCCTGACGACTTCTAGCCACCGTCCGACGATGGTGGCAAGCTGCCGGTAGTCGATTGGATGAATGGGGGTGTTTTTGTTAATATATAAACTTTTGTTGTGGGAGTTGTTTAGCTAAAATAACAAATGTAGGGGTTGAAAAAATAATCTAAATATATTCAGAAAATGTTTTTTAAAAATGTATCAAACACATTCTCAGAATCCTATCATATCCTATTCAGAATAGAATATTATTTCAAATAATGTACCAAACAAATTCAATAATAAGTTGTACTTCATTAAAAAAGGCATCATTCTTCCTCTATGAGCTTCTTGCTTTTTAGGTTTACGGACATATAAAAATTATAACTACAAAATACTAAATAAAAACTCTTTTAGAATAACATTTAAACACATTTTCACCATCTAATAAATTCATATAATTCTACGTAAATTTGTGCCTATTTAGCCGATGGGAAAGTTTAAAAAGATTTTAATTAAAATTTTTAAATCATTATAAAAAAAAAGACAAAAATACATAATTAAACCAAAATCTACTGTATACTTAAAACACAATATGGACTTTAACCATTGTAACGTTGTCTCACTTATTGATAATTTATTTTGAAGAATGCTTTTCTTGTACGAGAAAATTGAGTTTCTAAATTACTGAGAATCAACCCGTCAAATTTGAATGAAAATAAAAATCATTTGACCATACAATGATTGAGATCATAATTAGAACCCTGAAACCCAATTGCTTCAACTCTTAACTGCCTTATCACTCTCCTCTCTTCTGTTTTTCCTCCACTTCACTTACACAACACACACTTGTAACATTGGATACTTTTATTTGGTTGGGCTTTTGAATGAGTGGCCTCAAGAATAAGGGCACCCCAACAAAGCCCTAATTCATCACATCAATTTTCTCAGATCGCATTAATATACAAATTTCTTTGTCTAATTTTCACCTTCTTAGAATGGTATACTATTCACCTACTTTGAATGATTTTCATGTGTTTTTTCTTGCCATTAACAAAAAGATCTCATATGCTACTATAGAATAGCCATGGGAGATTAAATCAGCCTCCTATTCTAATTTGAAGGTAAACAACAAGAAGAGACAAAAAGCAAAGATAAATTTAAATGAAAAAAAAAAAATTAAAAAAGATAAAGAATGTTCAATCAATATAAATAGATATAATAGATCAACTTACCGTAGAAAATCAATATGTGGAGCATGAATGATTCTAGAGGGCAAGTAATTGTCAAGGCTTCTCCAAAATGGTTGCTAGAAGCTTCAAGATGAAGCAAATAACAAATTTGTTGTAACCTTACAAATCCAGTGACATCATAGACTGTAAATAGCTATTTTGTGCCACCAAAGAGATCTTTCAAAAAAGATCACATAATTTTCACTTACAAATCTTCAATATTTCTTGTGCTACTAAGACTCTTGAACTCCCATGATTCTTTGGGTACAAAATATAAAATCTCTTTGAATCATGCTTTGGGATAACTGGCTTCTTTGCAGCCTCGATGGTTGGAAGATACACTACATTCCAACCTGGATCGAGAACAAGAGAATTGCTGAAAATTAGGCAACTGTTCCCAGCTTGTAGAAGTTCTTAAAAAAGCTTTGAAATATTTACCTAAATTCCCCAAACTTAAAGCTAAGTACCTCTAGTCTCCAAGCTTGTTTCTAAATTTCCAAAAATATTGGTGAATAAAGCAATTTCTCAACTTTCAAATCTCGATGGTTATAAACAATCAACCTTTGGAAGGTAACCTTCCCTTTTCATTTCCTCATTTAGCAAGTCAAACAATTGGCAGATCTCAGTTGAATAATGCCGTATATCATCACCAGCAAGAAACTCATGAATTTGATCATCAATCTCGATCCAGCTACAACCAGGAGTCTTGCTGACACCCCTCTGTCTCATTAACATCCTCATCTTTGCTGACTCATCCCACATTCTCAAATTCCGATATATTTTTGATGAGATTACATAGTTTCCAGAATTTGAAGGCTCAATTTCCAGAAGTAGTTGCATCACCCGTTGACTGACATCAACATTTCTCTGCTTTTGACATGCACCAAGCATTGCCCCTAGTACAATTTCATCTGGTTTTTCAGGCATCTTCTCAATAAAATCCCAAGCTTCATGAACATGTCCTGCACGTGCCAAAAGATCAACCATGCAAGAGTAATGCTCAATTTTCGGTATTAACCCAAACGACGAGCTCATCAAGTCAAACAACCGACGGCCTTCATCAACCAATCCAGCATGAACACATGCAGAAAGTACTCCTACAAATGTTATGTCATTGGGACGGACATCCCTACCATCCTTCAACATGCAATCGAATAATGACAAGGCCTCCAAGGCTCGTCCATTAAAAGCAAGTGCTGAGACCATTGCATTCCATGATACCTCATTTTTCAGAGGCATGCCTTCAAAAACTCTTAATGAGTTCTCTATGCTCCCACATTTAGCATACATGTCAATCAAAGCAGTAGCAACAAAAATGTTGTGTTGTAGGCCCCTTTCTGATGCATATGTATCAACACATTTCCCCAACTGAAGGGCCCCGATAGAGGCACAAGCAGACAGTACTCCAATCAATGTAATTTGATCTGGATTAACTCCCGCCTCTTTCATTCTGTTAAACAGCATAATTGCTTCGTTTGAGAAACCGTTCTGAGCATATCTGTTACATAGTTAAACAGCTCATAAGCACAAAACTCAGAAAAAAATACATCGACTTTGTATAAAATTAATATATATGTTTTTAAATTATTTTTAAAATTATTGTATTGAAATGAACACATAATGCAAGTAGAGTTTATGTTAATGAAGGATTAGTTTTACTTGGGAAATTTTACCCAAGAAACTGAAATGGGGCCTATCCAGTCAATTGCCATCATCTTCTTGGCACAATCTACAGATGAGCAAGCTGAATCAACTGAAACTAACCTCAACAATTATCAGGTAAGTTTGTTCAAGTATACTTCAGCTACATTTCACGTATAACATACTAATAGGTCACTACCCAGAACCTGCTCCAGCCAACGCAGAATTATGGGAGAGTTGTTATGATTCAATCCTACAGTTCAGAACTTTGCATAAAATAGACCCCTCTCAGAGCTCCAACTCACATTCTTGTGTATGTCAGCCCAAGACTTCTATGATTCCATGACAACTACAAGGTACAATTAGTTGTTCTCCAAATAATTCTCTGAATAACGACGGAAAAGTGTTCTATTAAAAACCAAAGCCAACATTACTTTGCATAGCGTAACCTCAAAGCATGTAAAGCAAGTTTATTGAGATTTCTCAATGCAATTTTATTTTTAGTAAAACTCCAAACAACTCCAAGTTTTTATATCACAGTTGACCACCAGTAAATTAGAACAGTAAAGCAAGTATATAGCAAAAACCATCACTTACCCTGTGATCATAGCATTCCATGTAACCACATCCTTCTTCACCATCACATCAAAGACCCTCCTCGCAGACACTAAATCTCCACACTTCCCATACATATCAATCAACGCAGACCCCATAAATGAGTTCAACTCCATTTTGTTCTCCACCACAAACTGTTCCACCCACCTCCCTAGCCCCAAATCCCCCAAGTCCCCACACGACCCAAGAACAGTCACCATCGTCATTTCATCCGGTGCAAACCCCTCCTCCCTCATCCTCCCAAACAACTCCACCGCATCCCTCGCATACCCCATCTTCGAATAACCCGAAATCATCGAGTTCCACGACACCAAATCCCTCATAAGAATTTCATCAAACACCTTCCGGGCATATCCCAATTCACCACACCGCGCATACATGGTAATCAAAGAATGACTAACATGATCATCACCATCCAATCCAATCTTAAACACACACGAATGAGCCAAAACCCCATGATTCAATGCCGAAAGATTCGCACACGAAATAAACAAAAATGGGTATGTAAAATTATTTGGTTTCAAGCCTAAAGCTCTCATTTCATAATAGAACTGAAGAGAAAGAGAGTACTTTTTCCATGTGGTTGTGAAGCCACGGATCATTATATTGAAAGCGTAGTCATTAGGATTGGGGAGGTGATAGAACAGAGTTGAAGCGTAGTTGAAGTCTTTTAGTTCAATGATTTTGGAGAGGAGGAAGTTGGGTTTTTGAATGTAATGAATAAGCATTTGAGTATGAATTTGCTGAAGTGATTTTGTTGATGAACATTTTTTCAAGAGGGACAGGAGCTTTTCAGTTAGTAGCTGTTTTGGGTCGAGGTCGATAATTTCAGAAAGTGGGAGATGGCGGGAAGTGGGTTTTGCTCTAAGAAGCATTATTTGTGAGCAAGAAGATTTGATGCATTGGACTTTTTATCAAGAAGTTAATGACATTTTTGTCTCTAAGGTTTAGTCAACCAAGGCTGTTACTTATAACATTTCATTATAATGAATGTAACAGCATTTTATTTATTAATTATTTCTCATATTATGTCAGCCTATTTATTTTACTTTTTTTTCCCTATCCTATTTCTATTATACCCAAAATACATATTTATTTTCCTATCTTCAAAATTCAATCATATTCTATTTAACTATTTTAAAACCTCTTAAGTTTGTTAATTTAACTAAACACCCCAACAAAAAAAGTTTATAAATTAACAAAAACACCTCCATCCACCCACATATGCCAGATTTCTGCCACTACCACCGAAAGGTGGTCGGAATCTGCCGTAATACTACACTACCAGTTAGATCTGGCTGATAGTGCATCGATCTAGCATTTTTCGACCAGATTCACCATAGATCTGACCAAAAAATGTCAAATCTACGGCCAAAGATCTAGCCATTGACAGCCAGATCTTTGGCCACATCTCATGTTGACGACCAGATGTGGTCAGATCTATAGTAGATCTGGCCAAAAAAGGTCATATCGACGCACGACCGGCCAGATCCAACCAGTCGTACACCATTATGGTAGATTCCGGCCATCTTCTGGCGTTAGTGGTCGAAATCTGGCAAATGTAAGTGGATGGGAGTGTTTTTGTCAATTTTTAAATTTTTTATTTTAAGGGGTGTTTAGATAAATTAATAAACCTAAGGGGTGTTTTTGTTCATTTTTAAATCCTACCTCGTAATAAAAACTCAACTCAATTTTTTTAAAAATTTAACTCAAAATAATAAAATAAACACAGCTTAAACAGTCTATTGGATTTAAATAAAAAATTTGTTGTTTATATTTATAAATTAACAAAGATATTTTTAATTTATATGAAATATATTCTTTAAAATAGAAAGCATCATTGGAGATGCTTTTAAGTCATACAGTTTCCACTAATCTGTCAATTCGACCGTTTCACTACTAGTCAAAGATGAGAAATCTCAAGCAATCAGGACAACGACAACAACAACAACAAAGAACAGTACCACGAGAAATATAATCCAAGCATATAGTATAGAAAGACAATCGATTAACGAGAGAGTCAGATGTCAACACCCTTTTTCTTAAACAATCGCTAAATTCAAGAACAAATTCGCATCCACATTATAGAGAAAAAAAATCGTCCTAAACACCTAAGTTAAATCACCCTCCCAGTCACAATGGAAGAAATACAAAGTTCCCAATGCTAGTGAACAATTGGATTGTGTGAGGATAGATTTTGAATATAAAATTGTATTTGTTAAAAGCACATTTTGTTTAGTGGATAATGGGTTTTGTGAAAACAATAATACTATATTTACAAAGAAATCTTATAAAAATTTCTATATAAAGTGAAGTAACAAAAAATGAGTGAACTATTATGAAAAATTGAAGACCAAAAGCGAAAAATTGAATATAAAAAGTGGATTCATCTATTGCGATACATAAAATAATATATATATATATATATATATTTTGCCAATAATTTCTTTTACAAGTGAAGGGAGAAAATTACTATGCCTCCTTACTTGTAAGTTAATTTAGACCTGGAAAGTTAATATACCCTGGCTTTAAGTAAAAAAATATAAATGAGTTAATTACATAAATGGGTGCGTTTGGTTTATTATTTTTGATAGGATTTTGGGGATAGTATTGGATAGTTGGATATAGTTATGATTATGAGAATATGATTTGCAGGATATGTGTTTGGTAGAGTATTTTGACCTTGATATTTGTGTTGAATATTTTATTAATATATTTTTTTATAAATGATTTATTAATATAATATTTTGTTGCATTTTGTTAAAATAATGTATTATTATATATATATAACTTATCAAATTACATTTTAATAATACTAAATATTTTATTGGTAATTTTGTCACCCGTAGATATTAAAAAACAAAAATTTCAAGTACTAATCCAACTGTTTAAAAACATCACATTAATACATATATGACAAAAGTACTAATTATCAACCCTTACAATCATTATTGTACGTATACTCCTTTAACAACTACGACATGGTCCACTGTGCCATCCACAGTGCATTCGTTATGTTATCCCGTACAGTCGTCATGTTGTCTATAATACCTTGTTGCGATTGACTCGGTCCTTCTTCATTTCGGCCATATTCTGCTCCATTTTGATGATCACAATTTACTTACTCATTACCCGTACTATTATTGGTTTGTTCGAAGATACGGTCATCCATATTGTACATTCTGATAAAATTATGAAGTACACAACATGCCATAACAATCTTCCCTTGTTTGTCCAATAGGTAATTATTCATTCCATTTAGAATACGGAACCGTCTTTTCAAAATACCAAAGGTTCTCTCGATAACATTGCGGAGTGAAGCATGTCTGTAGTTAAACAACTCTTGTGGCCCCCTTCAGTTACGGCGGTGATCAGAAATATGGTAAACCACTCACCTATGAGGGGCGAGGAACCCATCTCTATTTGGATAACCCGCATCAACCAAATAATATTTCCCTGTAATAATATCAGACATTTTATTTGAATTACAGGGCCACAACAATGGAGGTAATATGCTATAATACGTCAAGAAAATACTTATACCTGGTGGAGGATGTGGGAATCCAGAATTAGGATCATCAATAATTGAATTTAAAACTCTTGAATCATGCGCAGATCCTTCCCATCTAGTAACGACATAAGTGAACATCATGTTAAAGTCGCATACAGCCATTACATTCTGTGACATCGATCATTTGTGATTCCGGTACCTATCGGCAAATTCACGTGGAACCGAAGCGTATACATGTGTGCCATCCATGGCTCCAATACAGTCCTATCATGAAAATGGGGCATTTTACTAATATTAACCTACTAAACAAATTAATAACACAATGAACTTAACTATCTACTAATAGCAAACATAATGAACCAGTACCTTAAAGAAAGGGTAATATTTTATGTTGGCTGATATTTCCCATGGAACATCATTGAAGTCAGGTGGTCTAATAAACTCTGTCTTCAACTCACATATAGCGTCGCAAACTGCGGTAACATGTCTAGAGATCGTCTCACCCGAATGTTGGAAATCCTCCATCATCGTTCTGATTGTCTCGTTTTTTCCAACGATTGTTAGAAATATCATAACTTGTTCTTTCAAACTCGTCCTCCTGGTTGGTTGCAATTTGCCTTGATCGACAAAAATTCACATAACAATGTAAAACAGTCTTTGTCCATGCGGCACTTGTCATAGATCCAGTTAGGATGACCGTTGAGTACTTCCAACATGTACTGATGACCAATTAATATGGATGTATGTCGTGGTTCATGCCCACTTGCTTCTAACACGGCAACACCGCAGAGTGCAACGGTTATATCTGTTAGTATTTCTTCTTCGTCCCTCTCATCTGTAGCACGTCGTCTTCTTCCTGTACGGCTAGACGACACCATTTAAACCTACACATTTGCAAAACATTTATCAACAATTAACAGTTGTTGTACTACTTAGCAAAATATAACAGTCAATATTTAATTGTAATGACAATCGAAAACAGTGTTTACACATTACAATATCACATAAATAAATTCATACAATAGCGTTATAAATTGTAATTGTAATGACAACCGTCCACTGACGCATACAAAATTGTTGCCAAACAATTATGAAATATAGTGTCATCTACTAATTATTGAAAAATTTGTTATGAATCCAGTTAGCCTTTTCCTCTGATGGGAGTTTCACAAATATCTCCCGCCACCCTGGATTTGCATATAAGTACGTGACAGCCGGCAAATAAAACTGTGTCGATACTTGCATGGTCGTCATGATGTCAATACAATTGCTCATGGAGAAAGGATCAGATGGAGCACTGGTGTTCTCTTCTTCCCTCTCATCTGCACTGTGATTGGAAGCACTCGATCCCATTGTCCGCTTCTCCGCAAGCTCGTCCGTCAAGCTAAAAATGGCATCCGCAATTGAATGTCCTGGCCCCCTTCTGTGCCTTCTATTTCTCGCTCTTCCATGGCCAGATATGTTGGGCCGTTTTTCCCCTATCAAACGATCAGGATCAGGTTCAAAGTCGCTATCATCCATGGGAATCGCGTCGGGATTGGAATAATTGGAGGTTTCCACCAGTTGGGATGTAGATGTGTACGCATATCTTCCAGTGGCAGTTTGCTTCTCAAATATTATTTCATAAAGCTCCTTGTGAGGAAATCCCTTGTGGTAAAATTGTTATGCCAATGGGTTTTGCTGGTAAGTTAAAAGAATAATATATTAATATTTAGCAGTCCGAAAAAAATGCGTACATTTACAGTGGCGTTGAATAATAATAGTTAAAAAATATGAAAATTTACCTTGACATATTCTTGCCAAACCTCAACGGGACACGTTGGACTTTGTGACTCCTGATCCCACCCGAACCCCGTGTGTTGCAACAATTTCCACCATGCTTGATAAAGTTTTCACAAGCGAAAGAACTTAGAGGTTAATTGTGTCACGTTGAGTCTCCTGCCAGCCAGTGATGATATGTCGTCCAACATTTCTTGGTAATCAGCTGTTTTTATTGCAGTGAAGTTTTGGCCCGATCAAATAACAAGACCAGAAATTTGTGGGTCATCTTAGCAGACCAGGCCACAGAATCACCCATCTAAGGACAGTACGGTGAGGGACAACCAATATTGGGGCACCATACGAATCACCAATCACATTACAAAATATAATACTCACATGTTAACGTAATCAACTAAACACATATAAAATTATACCTCGTTCGATCCGACACTGCTTGAAGACGTCAATGCAGGGGAAGATATAGACAATGTCGACCAACAGGGTGTATGACGAACTCCAAGTCTGGAAAAACGTCGAAACTTTCGGCTCTGTTGTAAGTAATAATCAATCCTGCGACGTCGAGACAAATTATGCTGACATCTG